TTTTAGCGTTGCATCTGAGTTACCCCACCAAAAGACTGTATTTATTCTTAATATTGTGTTGCAACACTCCATTACTGTGATGAGTTCGTTTGGTCAGGATAATTTAGTTTCTAGAAACATATTATAGTACTAAAATGCCCTTAAAGCTAAAATGAAGATGTAAGATGTGGTGTGGATCTTTTGTTCCCTACTCCTTTTTGAGTTTTATGGCATCGCTGGCCGTCCTTACTTGCCGCTTGAATTCCACTGCCATTTTTGTGCTCGATAAGGACAAACGACGTTGCAACCATTATATTATCACATTAGGACCCGGCTGCACACTGAGCGTAGCCCGTAGACCAGCAACAATCTGCCCTCCTTTGAAAAATATTAAGCTAAAGGTGATTAGTGTATTTTGGTTTCAGCAAGCGGGAGACGGACGCGAGGCCAGGAGCCTATTTAAGTACATTTACAAGCATTTTAGGGATGATGCCAGTCTTAGTGCCATGGGAGGCCAAAACTAACTTATTATGTCGCATTCTGCACCAGTGTATGTCTGATTCACTCTAATGCGTCCATAGGTGTACATTGAGTAGGCGATGTTCACGCAACTCAACACGAAGGCGCAAAGTTGGAGAGTCGTGTCATAGCTGTCACCGTAGGGTGAGGGCTGACGCATTTTGTGGATGTTATTAATAAAGGATGTTGACTCAATCCTCAAATTATTAACCTGTGGGGGTGGACGACTCATCAGAAAATGAAAATTTTACCCACAGGTGGAATTATTACAATCTGCGTGCTGTGCAAAAATTTGATTAAGCATGTATAGTAGTTGACCCGGTCATACACGGGATTAACAATTCACATCCCCTTTTATGGAGGGTATTTCGCAAAGTTTTTTGGAGATTATTTTTGAGGTAAGAATTATGGTTCTATCTAGGGTGAGAGTTACATTTAGGAATAGAGAAAAGGTCAGGCTAAATGTTTGGGTATCAATGTGGCCCCGGTGAACGTCCCACGTGATGGATGCGTTGTACCGACATGGGGGCCATTTCAGGGTACCGCAAGAGTTATTTAGGTTGCGCTTCCATAATAGACACCGAACATGGCGGCCGTTGTGGCACACCTAGGTACAGTCTCATGTTGCACCAGTCATTGGTGCCCGATCCCGTCTCTGGTCTTCTTGACTTCGTCTTGACACTAAACAGAGGTGGATGAGGGAAGAGGGACTGCGGTAGATGTAGCTCGAGTTTGTTTTCACTTAAAACTATTTCCCGACCAAGTCATCCTTCGTGCACCATCCTGCTGTGACAACAGTAGTTATGTCAAATTACCGTGATAACTGCTGGTCTCCTTGTAGGTGGCCTCAACGAGTTATCGTTCGTGATATGAATTCTTTGTGGATATTTGTGGAAATTTATTCCCTATTATAAAGGACTGAAACCTGAGAACAAGTACGTACAATCGCTGGAAAACTATCTTCATTCACTTGATGTTTCAGATCACTTACTGAATTTATCATCGGAGAGAGTAGCAGAAACGGGTGCTTCGTACACAGGCAGTAGCAGCATTTGTAGGATGCAGTCGCTATGCTACTGCATACCTATGAAAATTAACGCCTCCATGTATATTGAGAATAACTGCCCGCCGTCGAGTATGTAGCTCACAAACGGAAAACTCTCCCTGTGTAGGAACGCCCTGTTTCGGTTGCTGTCTCTGAGGATGAGTTCGAGTAGGAATCCGAAGTCTCAGGTGAATAAATAGTTTGTCTCAGCGATCGCTTCTACTTCTTGTCGGTTACTTTCTGGGACTTGCATTTTCTCTTTTATCGGACTGAAACCTTTTTGCTGTGCCTACAAGATAAGAATAGCTTAAAAATAAACTTATGCGGACTAAAGCCAAAAGCCCGAAAGACACAGAAAGGTAGTGGTATAATGACGACAAATTTTTTGGCTGGCTAACTGTCTAGTGATAGCGTGGGTTAGGTTGCCCTGCTGGTGGCTCCTGTGCTAACTCATTTTTCCCCGTAATCCCCTATTTGGTACAGCAGTTTAAGTTTCGGGAAATGTGCAGAGCAATGCGTGAAACACTTTTGACGGCGTATCATATCACCATTATGGCCTCTGGTCATTTTTTAGATGACTAAAAGGAGTTATCAATGGCAGTGTGACTTCTAAATGGGCACTCATGAAAGGCTCTCGTCTCTCATAAAGGACTGAAATCTGTTTGCTGTCCCTGCGTGGTCATAGTAACTTGAAGATGGAGTAAAACTAAAACTCCGGAA